TGTGAACCTTTCATTCATGCTGTGAACCTTCACAATCATTCATAGTGTGAACTTTCACAATCATTCATAGTGTGAACGCTTCACAATCATTCATGCTGTGAACCTTCACAATCATTCATAGTGTGAACTTTCACAATCATTCATAGTGTGAACCTTCACAATCATTCATACTGTGAACCTTCACAATCATTCATAGTGTGAACCTTCACAATCATTCATAGTGTGAACCTTCACAATCATTCATAGTGTGAACACTTCACAATCATTCATAGTGTGAACACTTCACAATCATTCATAGTGTGAACACTTCACAATCGTTCACGCTTTTGAGATATTTTTTTCTTCTGTACGTTTTTTGGCACGTATCTTGTTCTGCAATTTTTCTGCTATAAACCTTCAGCTCCTTCAGGACATTCCGGCTAAGACTTTTGGTATTTCAGCTTTTTATACTTTTTTAGCTGTTTCACATTTTCCTCATTTTCAACATCCATAAAATCCTTCAAAATGTTTCTGAATATTTACAGCACCTTACACCTTTTGTTCTGTTTCTGCTCTTTTTAACTTGCTTGTGCTAATTTTAGCTTATTTTTTGGTGATTTTAGCTTTGTTCTGCTATTTCAGCTATTATTCTTCTTTTCTGTTACTTTCTGCTTTTCTGTGCTTATTTTTGTTAATTTGCTAACTTCAGGTTCTTTCTGTATTTTGGCTACTGTTTAGCTGTTTGTTGCCAAATGTAGCTTTTTCAAGCTAAATAAACTTTATGATGGTTTTTAAGCATTTTTTTTTCAGTAGACGAGCGAACACATGATCTCACGTCTTTTTGCTAATATAAATAATACTTTTATTGTTTTATTTATTTTGTTTTTTCATTTAATTTGACATTTTAATACCCCTTACACCGTCTGCGTGCTAGTTTCAACCTGTGTCTGTTAGCTTCAGCTTGTTTTTATGCCAGTTCTAGCCTTTTTCTGCTGTTTCAGCTATATTTATGCTCATTTCTACTTTTTTCTGCAAAGTTGAACCTTTTTTTGCTTCTTTCAGCTTTTTGAATTGAACTCACTTTAACAGTTTTAATATTAAAAAATCTCAGCTCCGTTTCAGCAGAAGGTTTCAACAATAAGCATTTTCACAGGAAGTGCCTCAGTGAGTGTTGATCTGGAAACTGTTTCTGAAGGTGAAGAAGATTAAAACTGTTTTCTTCTTCGTGACCCTGAAGGCTCACCTCTCCTTCCTGTCCTCAGAGCCTCCGAAGCCTCCAGAGTCGGGGAAGAAGTCCAGGTGGGACGTTTCAGAAGTGAAGGAGGAAAAGAAGAGCGATGATTCTGTAGGTGAGCTGCTGGGTTCTGCACGACACCAGAGTGAAACCGAACCGGACCGGGCCTCCAGCCGCAGCGACGACACGACTCCTGCCGACAGATCTGAGGTGTGTGGAGACAAACGGGTGATGAGTCGAGGAACGGATCRGATGTTTGATCTGCTGCTGTTCTCACAGGAGGAGCCAGCAGGTCTGCAGAGGTCAGACACTAAAACAGACGAGGAGGATGAAGAGAACAGGGACGAGGAAGAGGAGGAGAGCAGACCGCCCATGGACTTGTTCAAAGCCATCTTTGCCAGCTCCTCTGACGAAGAGAAGTCCTCATCATCATCAGGAGAGAGCGACGACGAGGACAGGAAGGAGGAGGAGTCACAAGCAGTGGAGCTCTTCACCGTCACCTCCTCCTCCTCCGCAGGCGATGTGTCCAAACCCCACACAGGTTCTGACTGCTCCCTGACCGGGCCGCCGCTCGGTTCTGTCACTCTGAACCCTTTCTCTCCCGTCTCTGCAGAAGCTGCAGTTTCCTCTCGGACGTCAGAGCAGGACAGGGAGGAGTTTGGACCGAAGCTGCCGCCTTCTTTATCTGCTGACAACGCATGTAGGTCCCACCCTGCAGCTGCTTCTTACCTTTCAGTCCACCGTGACCGTGTTTCTCAAGTTTTATCAGACTGTCAGACCGCTGYAGGTTCACTCTTATGGAGAGAAAATAGACTCATAAAGTTTGTGTGTGTAAAACATGATTTGTAACCCGTAAAAAACATTTTGTGCGTAACATCAGGCATTTGTGTGTATTTAAATGTACACACAAATATTAATAAGTTACGAATACAAAATAAAAGTACACACACACAAATATAAATTACACAAACATTAAAATTTCACACACATTTTTTACCTTCAACCTCACAAATGTGAAAATTACACAAACTGGCTCCTACGCACACGTCTTTAAATACGCACATTTAAGCACAGATCTGGTTACGGTTGTATAAATCAGTTTTAGACTGTTTTCACGCTGCCGGACAGCTCCCAGATTCGTGCGTAAATGATGTGTTTACATGCTGCTAAAAAGSTGGGAAATTTAAACTTCCTTCAGACCTTTGAATTATTTCCTGAAAAACTATTTACTTGTGCCGAAGTGGTACATTTTTGTTTTTGTTTGTTTAAGAGAGAGAAGAAAAGAAAGAGCAATAGCTCAACATCCCTTAGTTCTACTTTTTAATTTTCTAATTTTGTTTATATATGTATGCATTTGTGATCTGAACAAATGTAGTTACACGGTTAAAAGAATCGACCACTAGATCTTTTAACCGTGTAACTACATTTGTTCAGATCACAAATGCATACATATACAGCGGGTAAAATAAGTATTGAACACGTCACATTTTTCTCAGTAAATATATTACTAGAGGTGCTAATGACATGAAATTTTCACCAGATGTTGGTAACAACCCAAGTGATCCATACATACAAAGAAATCAAACCATAAATGTCCAGAAATGAAGTTATTTGTAATAATGTGGAATGGCACAGGGAAAAAGTATTGAACACACTTACTGAAATTTATCTAATACTTTGTACAAAAGCCTTTGTTGTCAATGACAGCTTCAAGACGCCTCCTGTATGGAGAAACTAGTGGCATGCATTGCTCAGGTGTGATTTTGGCCCATTCTTCCACACAAACAGTCTTCAAATCTTGAAGGTTTCGTGGACCTCTTCTATGAACTCTGATCTTTAGTTCTTTCCATAGATTTTCTGTTGGATTCAGGTCAGGTGATTGGCTGGGCCATTCCAGCAGCTTTAGTTTCTTTCTCTGAAACCAACTGAGAGTTTCCTTGGCTTTGTGTTTGGGCTCATTGTCTTGCTGAAATGTCCAGCCACGTTTCATCTTCATCATCCTGGTAGATGGAAGCAGATTTTTATCAAGAATGTCTCTGTACATTTTTCCACTCATCCTTCCTTCAATTATTTGAAGTTTGCCAGTACCATATGCTGAAAAACAGCCCCACACCATGATGTTCCCACCTCCAAACTTCACTGTTGGTATGGTGTTTTTGGGCTGATGTGCAGTGCCATTTGACCTCCAAACATGATGTGTATTCTGGCATCCAAACAGTTCAATGTTGGTCTCATCTGACCAGACTATATTCTCCCAGTATTACACAGGCTTGTTTAAATGTTGTGCAGCAAACTTTAAAGGAGCTTCAACATGCTGTTTCTTCAGCAGTGGAGTCTTGCGTGGTGAGCGTGCATACAGGCCATGGTGGTTCAGTGCATTACTTATTGTTTTCTTTGAAACAATCATACCTGCTAATTCCAGGTCTTTCTGAAGCTCTCCACAAGTGGTCCTTGGCTCTTGGACAACTCTTCTGATAATTCTTTTCACTCCTCTGTCAGAAATCTTGTGTGATACCTGGCCATCATTTGGGACTGAACCAGCTGATATTAACTTGCACTGACAAGGGGCAGGCTTGCTTTCTAATTACTGAGAGAGTTCATCTGGTGTCTTGGCTTTCCATGCCTTTTTACACCTCCCTTTCTTCATGTGTTCAATACTTTTTCCCTGTGCCATTCCACATTATTACAAATAACTTCATTTCTGGACATTTATGATTTGATTTCTTTGTATGTATGGATCACTTGGGTTGTTACATCAATTGGGTCATCAATTGGGTCATTAGCACCTCTAGTAATATATTTACTGAGAAAAATGGTGACGTGTTCAATACTTATTTTACCTAAACTATCTTAGAAAATTAAAAAGTAGAACTAAGGGATGTTGAGCTATTGTTCTTTCTTTTCCTCTCTCTCTTAAAAACAAAAACGTACCACTTCGGCACAAGTAAATAGTTTTTCAGGAAATAATTCAAAGGTCCGAAGGAAGTTTAAATTTCCCAGCTTTTTAGCAGCATGTAAACACATCATTTACACACAAATCTGGGAGCTGTCCGGCAGCGTGAAAACAGTATAAAAATGATTTGTGCAATCGTAACCAGATCTGTGCKTAAATGYAGTTTTGTCTGTGCGTATTTAAAGAAGTGTGCGTAGGAGCCAGTTTGTGTAAGTATCAAATTTGTGAGGTTGAAGGTAAGAAATTTTAATGTGTAATTTATATTTGTGTGTGTGTACTTTTTATTTTGTATTCGTTACTTATTAATATTTGTGTGTACATTTATATACACACTTACAAATACCTGATGTTACGCACAAAATATTTTTTACAGGTTACAAATCATGTTTTACACACACAAACTTTATTAGTCTATTTTCTCTCCATACACTCTCAGCTGCGACCACACTAAGGTTTAGCTTAGTGTCTGTAAAACTGAGTTAGCAGAGATCAGCTGGACATGTACCTGCCTGTTGTTGCTCTGCTCAGACAGAGGAGGCACCTCCGTCGGCCCCCCCGCTCAGGAGGAGAAGGTCGGCAGGAAGAGCAAAGAGAAGAAACACAAGAACAAGAAGCATTCCAAGCACAAGAAGGACAAGAAGGTAAAAACAGGTTTGTCAGACAGGTTTCCCTCAGTTCAGCTCTGATTCTCTGGGTTTTATTTGTGCAGAAAAAGAAAGCCAAAAAGCACAAACAGCAGAAGAAGAAGAAGGAGGAGGAGGAGTCACACAACAGCTCAGAGGAGAGTGATGAAGATGATGTTCCTGTGTCCACAGATAAACTACTGCAAAGGTCAGAGGTCACAGGAAGAATTATTACTTTCTCTTCTCCTGAAAGCTTTCTGTGCTTCCTGAGGTACTGACTTTATTTATGTGCTCAGTTCTTTTCAGTGTTTCCATTTTTGTTTTTCAGACTGAAGGGCATCCGGTCCGGTCAGACCTGGTGAACCAGCAGGAGCCTCGTCCTCTGTGAGGACCACCTGTCAGCTGGACCCAGATCATCTGCTGCAAAGTTTTTATTCAWATAAAATGTGAATTATTAACTGAGGTGCTGCTGTTCTTCTGAAAATAAACTGATCTTTTATTTTTTCTTAAAGTCAACTTCATTTATCAGGTTCACTCATTCATCCAGCTAAAATCAAGATCCCAGCTTGTTTTAAGTAATGTGTCCCTAAATACAGGATGAATTGTAGGTTTGTGTCATAGAGAATGAAAATATCAGCTTTTCAACCACATCATTTTCATTCAATTTATAGGCAAAACTGACAAACTTTAAAACAAAACACCGACCATAAAGGAGTACAGGCAGGCTAATGGCTCATTTTATTATGGWTTTTTTAAGAATCTAAAAATCGGCTCATCCTGACAGAAAACATTTTTATCCCAAACACCTAGACTCTTCAAACCTGGATTTGATTATCCTACACTGACAGAAAAATATTTCAAACTAAGTTTCTGATTTGTGAAACTTCAACTAAGGTCATTTTTTATCCTTTTTTAGGTAACTGGACCACATTAGACCTGGTCCAGCTCAAAAACTACAACACCTGGACTCTTCAGACCTGGACTAGATTAATCTACACYAATATTTAAAAATAACTTTGGGATTTGTGAAACTTCAACAAAGTTCGATTTCATCATTTTTTTATGCATCTGGACCACACTTGTACTGGTCCAGCCCCAAAAATCCAACACCTACTTTTCAAACCAGAACCAGAGTATTCTACACTTAATACAATTATATATAAAATAAACAACTTTGGGATTTGTGAAACATGTTTTTGATTTGTGAAACAAATAAATTGCCTTATTAATGCGATTTGGTCTGTGGAACATTAGAACTGAACTCATCCTTCTTTCACTTTAACGTTTGGTGTCATTTCAACTTTTAACTTACTGTTTTCTAACATTTTATTTTTTTATCTTCCTTATACAACCTGGTTGTAACTAATGAGTGATGAAACTTTTCAGGTTTTATTGTTTTATTGACTCAAATCTGAAAATAAACAGATTTATACCAGTTTGTTTGGCCTCTGACATCATCATCATTTCTAAGGTAACAGCCTCTGATTGGTCTAAAGAGGCTGTTTAACGAAAATCAGTCTTTGTTGTTGATGTTCGGTTCAAYGAACAGCAGGTGGCGCTAAACTACAGAAATATCTTGAACATAATTTAATTTATAAATTAAATGGTTACAACTCCATCGTAAGGATTGATGGTTTTACATTTTGTTTGTGTTTCTAAGGTGTAGTTTGACAAAAAAGACAAACTAAACCCTTATTAGAAGTTATTTACATACGCTACATAAAAATAAATATTTATTTAAGCATATAGGAGTAGTTAAAGGTAAAATAAAGCAACATTTGTCCTGATATTTCCATCACAGCGCGCTCTGCAGGAGGCACTGGCAGCCGCAGCCGGCCGGACACTCGTCCTGCCGGCGGAACCAGTCCATCATGTGGTTGGTGTGCCCCCCGTGGCCACAGCTCAGGCAGAAGTTGGACGAGCCTCGGACCGCCACGTGGCACACGGCGCACTGGAAGGTCAGGCGCTTGCAGACGGCGCACTGGGTCCCGCGGGCCTGGCTGCGGCAGTGGCAGCAGTACACACCGAACTCTGCGGACAGACGACACACTTCAACACAACTCTGCCTCAGAGGGACGGAGGAACCATAGATATATAAAGGCTAGAKAAGTCACCCTGCTGTTGGCCAATGGAGACAGACGTCCTCACATGGCGGCCATCTTGGGTCGGGAAGCTCGCCCAGTCTTAACATGAATGTGTGTAAATGTGACTTATCTAGCCTTTATATATCTATGACTTATCTGGCCTTTATGTATCTATGGGAGGATGGGTTAGAACGTGGGCCCAGAGGAACGTACCGATCCCTTTGTGTGGTTCTGGAGGGCTGGAGGTGAACTTCAGCACGTCTGCTCTCTTGTCCCTCAGACCCCAGCGGTACAGGATCTCACCGTAACATTTCTTAAAGTCGTCAAACTGCAGCGTGTTGGCCGGGTCCAGCAGCCTGCACAGGAACAGGAACAGGAAGTGACAGATCAGTCAAAAGTCAATCAAAAGCTGAACGTTCCACAGAAACCAGACTGATGTTAGAGGAAACAACAATCAGAGGGAATGATCTTTTAAACCTTTTGTTCATGTCATGCAGCTCTCGCTCCCGTTCCCGAGGATCGYTGTAACCCTGGCTGCCATAGCGATAGTCTTCAGGGGAAGGTTCGCCCCAGGGGTTGGCGTGCTCAGAGTCCCTGACTGAAAACCAGAAGAAAACAAAACAAAACAAAAAAAAACAAGTTTGGCAGATAAGTGGGACATTTAGGCACGGCCTGCGTGAGGCGCTGTGGAGTCGGACCTATGTTCCAGGCGCTGGCCGTGGTGGAGTCCGAGGTGCTGGAGCACGAACCCGAGGTGATGGAGCTGGATGTGAAGCTGGGCTGAGACAGGAACACAAACAAACAAACAAACAAACAAACAAACAAACAAACAAACAAACACATTAATCCAGAACTCAGTCTCTAATATTTTATCTCCAAACAGCCAGAAGTTTTATAAGTGGTCCAGATATTTAGTTTACTAGATCAGGACTTTTACACAGAACTGTAACACATCTATTTAAGCCCCTCCCACTGTTCTAACAYGTCCGTAGCAACAACCAATCAAAAGCAGGAAGCAGCAAAAATAGTTTCTACGTGGCTGTAATAAATCAATAAAAACTGTCCATAAATAGTGAACAAGGAGAAAAGTGCAGCTGAGTTTAGGAACTCACGTATCGATAGTGTGGAGGTAAACGAGACGAATGGTGTCCGTAYAGCGAGTAGCAGTCAGGGGGCGGAGCCTGAGCTCTGAACACGCTGCACAGCATGGCCAGGGTCTGAACGTCACTCATTTGGCTGTAGTGGTCCAGACTRCAGAAAAACACAAACAGATCAGACTCTTTGTTCCTCCTGATGTTGACAGTGTCTGCAGTGACTCACAGCGTCTCCAGCAGGTGGCGCCCAAACGGGTGTCTGGCCCAGGGGGTCTCTGTGTCTGGGTCAGAATCTGGACTCAGGTCCTGACTGGTGGCTGCAGAAGCCAAGGCCCAAACCTGCAAACAGGAGGAAGTCCTGAGGTTTTAGAGATCCTCCTGAGTCGGTTATCTGGTGCACACAACATACTAACTGGTGCGCACAACATACTAACTGGTGCGCACAACATACTAACTGGTGCGCACATCACACTAACTGGTGCGCACGACACGCTAACTGGTGCGCACGACACGCTAACTGGTGTGCACGACACGCTAACTGGTGCGCACGACACGCTAACTGGTGCGCACGACACGCTAACTGGTGCGCACGACACGCTAACTGGTGCGCACGACACGCTAACTGGTGCGCACGACATACTAACTGGTGCGCACGACATACTAACTGGGGCGCACGACATACTATCTGGTGTTCACGACATACTAACTGGTGCGCACGACATACTAACTGGTGCGCACGACATACTAACTGGTGCGCACGACATACTAACTGGTGCGCACGACATACTAACTGGGGCGCACGACATACTATCTGGTGTTCACGACATACTAACTGGTGCGCACGACATACTAACTGGTGCTCACGACATACTAACTGGTGCACACGACATACTAACTGGTGATCATGACATACTAACTGGTGATCATGACATACTAACTGGTGCACACGACATACTAACTGGTGATCATGACATACTAACTGGTGCACACGACATACTAACAGGCGTTCACGACATACTATCTGGTGTTCACGACATACTATCTGGTGTTCACGACATACTAACTGGTGTTCACGACATACTAACTGGTGTTCACGACATACTAACTGTTGCACACGACATACTAACTGGTGCACACGACATACTAACTGGTGTTCACGACATAATAACTGGTGTTCACGACATACTAACTGGTGTTCACGACATAATAACTGGTGTTCACGACATACTAACTGGTGTTCACGACATAATAACTGGTGTTCACGACATACTAACTGGTGCACACGACTGACCTCAGAGCATTAAAGCTGTTTGAGGTTTCATAAGAGACCACATTTAAAAAACCTCAAACCTTCGCTACGTCTCTGCGTCCGACTGCCAGAGCTGCTGCTGCGTTCTTCTGACAGGTGTCCTGAATGTCATTCATGTTCAGACTGAAAACAAGAAAAAAGTGGAACGATTAAACATTTTTACAAGTTTTACAGATTTCTACAATAAAAGTCTCAAAACTAGAACTTCTGACAGTTAACCATTCAAACTACACTGTTCGAAATTATATTTGTCTTTGATTTATCTAAATAATCGTTATAAATAAAGGTCATATTTACTGAAATCAAAAGCTAGTTCAGAAACATGAGAACATTACATTTTAATATAAGATTTACTAAAGTGGTGAGTTTTTGGAGAGTTTCTGCTACACAAATCTTTAACAGTACAGTGATCACGCTGAAAGGTTTCTGAAACATCCAACAGCAGATCTCTTTTTTTACATTATTGATTGAAAAGCAGTTTTTACTTTTACTKGCCTCACCTGGTAAACTTATCCACACAGATGTTCTTTACATGGAAGGGCGGTACTTAAAAATGTGACTAATCAGCCACTAGGGGGCGCCTGTTTTTTATCGCTTCAACTTTCAGGTCTGTGTTTTATACGGAAATGATAAAAAATATATATATTAGCACAAAGTAAAACTGACGGAATATTTTCATGTAGTTGATTAGCTGTGACTCCAGACGTTAATCTGTTGTAGGTGAACGTTTATCCAGGAATYTGTTTCTACAAGATTCTTTCAAACTTGTTGTTCATGAGATATTTTAGTAACAAACATAAATCCTTAACGTCTGCCTTTGCCTTTAGGCAGYGGGTGATAATTAATGTGAATTTATGACTGAATTAATTTGTGTTGAAATAATAAATCCCTCACATGTAGCTCTCCCCCAGGGTTTTGTGGACGGGCAACAGGCAGGAGATCTCCTGGATGATGACCTTCCCGGCCAGTTTGATGGGACGGTTGCCGTAGTCCACCCCTTCCCTCTTCGTCTTAAAGCGGCGGGATTTCTGACGGACAGACAGACAGATAGACAGACAGGAGGAGGAGGAGGAGGGAGGCGGCCGGCGCAGAGGAGACAAAACAGCAGCACATTAATGGCGGCCGGGAAGACAGCCGAGTCTGTTCACACTGCGACGCCGGGACTTCAGGAGCCATCGGAAACCCTCAGGACCTCGGTGAGAGCAGAATTTGAATCAGATGAACTAAACGTCGACAGGTTGGTTTTAGTTTCCAGCTGTTGGATGGTTTGATGTCTCTGAGATTCTGGTCCAGCACCTGAAGTCAGCTGCAGTCACTCTGTGAACAGCTTCAGCTAACAGCCTGAAGAGCCAGATTACATCCAAAACACGTTCAGTCTAATTAAGTTCTGGGTGCAGACGGATGGAACTTACCTGAGGAGGTTAGTGCGCATTAGAAGCTTCAGGCAGAAGTTACTGAGTTCATCTCACTTATGTGTTCAGAATCTACGCTTCCTTACTCTGGATTCTTAAAGCTGCTGGACTGGAACTCTAGTTTMAACATTATCAGAGCCCAAATGTTTCAAAGAAACAAGATCACCRCCTAAACCTACCATTACCAGCTCCATTCTTTCTGAAGGTAAACACACGATGAACGTTTTTGTTAACAGCAAAGCAAAAGTACAGTGAATGCATCGTGATGGCAAAGCGGGTACTGAGACCTGAACGGATCAGAGAACCAGAGGCTGATGAACGTCTCGAGTTCTGCTGGAGTCTGTAGATGGTTCAGAACAGGACGACCAGTTTGTCTCTTCGTACACACGAGACAAAACCAAACAAAAAACATCTGATTTTTGACTTTCCTCTGTGAACCTGAATGTTTCTGCGGAGCTGGAGATCCAGAAAGAAGCTTCAACAAACTCTGAGTTTATCCAAAAACACCAGGTTAACTTAATCTGAGAGGGAATCTGAGCTTGGACATCTTTTTCTTTCTCCTTAGATCAACTGACGTAGTTTGTTTTAAAGTGTGGAAATCTATTAAACAGTGAGGAAAAGATAAAGAACTGAATGTATCTGACATTATGTCTATATTTCATGGTTTGTTTGTAAAGATGGGGATTAACTTACTCAGACTTTCACTAAACTCAGGATTAACTTAGACTTTCACTAAACTCAGGATTAACTTAGACTTTCACTAAACTCAGGATTAACTTACTCAGACTTTCACTAAACTCAGGATTAACTTACTCAGACTTTCACTAAACTCAGGATTAACTTAGACTTTCACTAAACTCAGGATTAACTTAGACTTTCACTAAACTCAGGATTAAC